TTTAACTTTAATTCAAGATAGCTGCCAAATCAGTCAACCAATCACAATTCTGAAATTTAGGTGCATTGCTTCTGATAGTTCCCAATGTACTATTTTGTGGCCAAAAATCGGTAGCTAATTTCCAGTGGTTTTGATTAAGAACTATTACTATTCAAATTAATTTGGTATGTACTAGTGAGTTGTTTACTATAAACCAAATTTACAATCTTAATTTTTTTCCTTTCCAGAATTTCATACATGTATTATTATTATTAAAGCAGGGGAATTGTCACCTGCGCATGCTTCAGATGGCCATAGCGTGTCATTGTTTACAAATAAGTGTCTAACCATGAACCTTTTCGTTTTTAGCGCGTGTTGTTATCATCGCTTGGGACTCAATTCCTGTGCGTACATGGGTGACGACACTCCTGCTTTAATTTTAGGAAGTCTACTCTACCACACTATCTGAGTATTTACATTGCCCTTTATATATTGAGATATGACTTATGGATAAAAGTCACATTGAAATTGGAATACATCTTTTAATGCTTATTACAGTCAAACCTGTATATGGCCTCCATCCAAGAAACTTCATCAAAATGGTCATTATAAACTGGTGGTTCTTATATAGATGTTGGATTATTTTTTCATGGATCAACAATTTACTCATTTGACGTAATATTTGTCCAGAAAATATTGAGAACACAATTATTTGTGCCAATCAAAATCATAATAAGTTTGATTTGAGGAAATTAAAAATTGCTTTATGAACAGAATGCTAAATATTATTTTGAACTTTAAACAAAAGTGAATCTGCAAAAATATTTCTGAAACGATGGTTGCTCACTATATGAAGGTGGTCTTTATATACATGTAGAGGTGATCAGTAACACACTGACTGTAGTTAGTATAACAGTCAGTCAATGTGTGATTAGTATTGGCTTATTGTAATAAATAACACCAGTGTCTTGATAATTCTTAATTACTGGACGTTGTGCAGACTCTGTTCATTATTCTATGCCATTTGAAAACTGTTTATGAACTAGCGTTTCCACTGGAATATCTTGTACTAAGTTTGCAGATTGTATTATATTTTTCTGTGCTTAATTGAAGCTTTGTAAGAGTGTGCAGAGTAGGAGTATGTAGGATTAAATTGTTTTTTGTAACGCAGAGTACAAATAAAGAATATGTTTAGTCAACATGCTGCTCATTATTATCTTCTGTCACATTGTGATGGAGGAAAACACCGGTCACTGGTAGCCTAGTGGTTGTCACATCAGACTCATGATTGGTAGACCTACCTTAGGCTGAACATCAAAAGGGTTGACCCATACCCTGGGTGAGTGTGCCACAGACTCAATGATAAGGCCAATTCCACTGGCCGAGATTCATTCACTAATGAATGCGACTTTGGGGGTATCTTGGTTAAGATTCGCAGGTGCTTATGTTCGACCGATAGGAAATTTGATAGGAAATATGAATATGACCCTTATGGCAAAAATGCACCATGTGTCAGCACTTGCAATTTGCACATACAAAAAAAAAGTTAGGAAAGACAACAGTGACATTCAATGTCCGTAACTGTCGCCTGGCACAAAAAAACATTTAATAAACAAACAAACATAGTGATGAAGGGGGTTATAGCGGTTACCAGTGTTTATTTGTCCATACGAAGTCATATCAGAAGCACTATCGCAGATAGAGACATTCACACAGTGTTTTTATTTAAAACATTTTAGATTTGATCAACTTATTAAAATGAAAATAGGTGGTCATATCAACCCAACTAGAAGAAATTTAAAACCAATTTTTTTGGGCCTATTAGATTTTGGTTGAAGATTACATTTTCAACAATTCAGACAAATATGTTCTGTCAATTACAGTACATGTATATTACCGGAAACAACTGATTGTATTACTATATAGTCATAAGTACGGTACATCCATGGTAACTCATAGTGATTGACTTTGTCATTATATACAGAATAGAGACTGTGATTGTCAAAATAATGTCTAATGATACTGAGCAATAACAGAACTTTTAAATGTTTTTTGTCAATTATTTAAAATTAGGATTTGATTGATGTTACTGTACAGGTTAAATTAGTCTAATTTTATTGTTTTCACACTTGATTTTTTTTTGACACCAGCTATTACCTTAATTTTCAGATTATCTCAAGCTGTTGTTGATGTAGATACACGAAACACCAAAAGTGCATTGCTCTGTGCTCTCTTAATTACAACACTTTTGATCATCATCTGTACCCACGGTTACCGTTTCATTTTTTTCATTAACTCTTTTCGCACCGATGTCACAAAAGAAACCTACATTTCAAAACAGTTGATTAAAAATTACCATGGTGACGATTTAGACCAAAAGAACCAAATTCAATTGTAATATAGAAAAGTCCTTCAATATATATATATAAATTGATGTGAACACCAGTATCATATACATGAACATGTTTATTACAATGGATGTTTACAATTAGTTCCTATGGCAGAATCATTCCATCATATCACAAAATTTTGTTTGGTTGACCCTATGCTTAAAAAACTGATACATATACATGTATATGGTGTCATGAGGGCTGCATAAAATTGGATATTTTTTGCATATTAGTATAAGTTATCTTTGGAATAATGTGTTTACATGGATTCCTATGAAAATTGCTCTAAAATGGTTGCTTTATAGGATTTTTTGTATACTACCGTAAAATCTGTATTAGAAGCTGCATCCCTAATAGAAGTCGCACCAATTCTTTTTGAATAATTGAGAACCAAAAATTCATCATTTCTCATATGTGTACGTGCTCTAATAGAAGCCTCATCCCCTCTGTTGCATTGTATTAGTTTAATAGAAGTCGCGGTTTCTAATACAGATTTTACAATAGTATGTTTTTTAAAAAAACACACCCTTCTTTCTCTGTAAAAACCTCAAATAATG